TGCAAAGTTTAGTCTTAACAAAAATATGCAAATTTTTTTATATTTCCATCATATGAAAATATATCTGGTCGGAGCGCAATTAATGGAAAAATTCCTTTTGATTTTTTAATTTTTGTCTGAATTGTGGAAAGTAAATATCTATTACTATTATTGATTATGAATGATAACAATAATAGAAGTGAACAGTGATGAGAACATTATTCTGGTTCTGATTCTGTCCATCATTATGATGGAGATCGTGTTACCACGTCACTAAATTGTTATGATCACTTTTGCTACTATTACTAATATGTGCTAATATGTATGTGATGGATAGAAAATGTTCCTAATAAAATATTAAATCGACAAAAAAACTTGTGGTGCTATGAAAATATATGGATGAAGTTGAATATTCACTAAACAATTCAAAAAAAGGATCTGGGTCTAAAAATATTTTAGAAAAAAGACAGTGAATCTGTAACTTTTTATATTTATCGGAAAAATATCGCTAAAATAGTTGTTTTTAGGACTATTTTTGATCTTTGAGGTTCGCATATATTTCTTGTGGTCATTTTGCTAATATTCATTCTTAAGTGTCAAACTTATTATTACATTGCTTGAATAGTATATGATGGAATGGTGACAGAAAGACTTTAATGCATTGACAGAAATTAAAAAAGACTTTTGTATAGATATTACGAAGAAATAAGTCACATATCATTAGCGTCAATCAAATTACAAATCATGTTGTTATCAAATGATTCCATCATTTTTTGACTTACTCATCATAAATACGGTTTGAACGTTGAGCCATTATGAGATCGCTTATCTCCTAAACTTAAAAATAAGAACTTTACAAGATTCTTTTTTACGATTTTTCCTTCAATAAAATAATAAATCTTTCAAAAAAGAGACAGCCAGGAAACTTTCTGAAAATTCACTTATTTTTGATAGTTCAAGAATATCGCTTTCTTGATTAAATGTTGCTTTTTTCCGACTCGAAATTTAACGAGCATTGCAACTCAAATCAGTCTAAAGGAAAATATAATACACAATTATGTTACAACTATCACGATTTATTTTTTATATAATGAACTGATTGGAATCATATATTTTCATGAAGGTGATTCGAAGGGTATTTCAGTTTTAATGGGGATTTCATATATAACATAACTGTAAGAATTTTGTATGAAAAAAAATTTTTCATGCGAATTGGGATTCAATGTTATATATGAATTGTGACTATAAAATAATGTCTTTCAATTTTGCATATGTATGTGGTAATAATAACAAGGGAAACTTTTTACATGTGGAGCGCAGCTTTCAGGTGCTGCAGCTCGTATAGAGGGATGTGATGGCCATCATTTCACTGATATGACTCCAAAAGAGGCATGTCTTGAATATTATACACGCCTGAATTCTTCAGAAGGATGTACAAATCCGATGTTAAGTGCGGATTTCAAATCTGTTGGTTATGAAGTCAGTATTATTCTTTCTAGGTCTATTTAAAATGAAAAATACTTTGGATTTCAGTAAAACGTTTATGAATTCATTAATTTTGGTAACCAAATGTCAGAAATTACAACCACCACTCAAAGTGTACATATTTTTTGTTTCCAAAATTTCTTTTGTGTGAAATCATTCAATTTCAATATTTCTGTGTCCTTCAGTTTCAATACTTCTGTGATTCTGCAAATAAAGTGAAGCTAAGCATATCGTTGCAAATGATTGGAATTATGTTTGGAGCAATGACCTTTGGACAGTTGTCGGATACCTTTGGTCGTAAAGCAGTACGTTGTTTGTTTTTGTTGTTTTTTGATTTTAGATTATGCAAATCTATTATATTTCATCATCTGCAGCTCAACAACAGTGTTGATTTCATGTTTGATAAATGAAGTCATTTTTTGAAAAGTCCTCTCCTGCTATCATTCTGCAGCACAAATATGCTATCAGCAGGAAAGAAGAGCTCGGATTAAATTCTAAATTATCCCGGTGATTTTCATTTTAATTTAACGAGTTGCAGATTTTAAGAATGTTTCACGACTCGAAATTCGTTTTTAAACTCATGTAAATCATGATTAGAAGAATTTCTTTATAATTTATTTTCTATGGTATTTGATTCATGACTGAAGTTTACTACCTTAAAAGCATCATAAGCATTTCTATCCAGAATACTCTATAATTGCCTTATTTACTTCCAGTTGTCATGTATAAGGTATCAGTCCTGACCGAGAAAGTGAAATATTAGAATTTCAGATTGTTTCATTCTATTAAATTTAAGATTCTTATGTTTGGAACGATAGGCTTAATTGTTAGTGGTTTGGCTTCAACATTTGTCAGTGATTTGGTAACTTTCACTATTGCTCGATTTTTTGTCATGTTCTTCACTGGCGGAAAGCACAGGTTTGATACTGAATTTGGTTATCGAAGCACTTCTGTCTTTTTAATCCCATTCGAAAGCCCAAGCCCATAACAGTAGGAAATAAAAAAATTGCCAAATAGAGTCTCAGTAATTTGTTTGATTTTTTTTTGTAATGTTTACTCTAAATTTCATTGAAAATATTTTAACACTAAACGAAAATTATTTATTTTACATTTTTAGCTGTTTTTTAAAATTAATCGAGTAAACATTTATCACAAAAAAGTCTAAATTAAATCGTTTAATTAATTATCTTTAAACATTTCTAACTGGAAGCTTATCAGGTTTCCAGCTATAAAAAGTTTTTTTCTACAAAGAATTACCAAAATATGTATGTCAAAAATTTTATTTTATTCATTAACATCATTAATAAAACAGTAGGCATGGATGGTTTTTAAAATATATAGGATGATATGGTACTGATCTTCATTTGTGTTGTAATCGAATTGCAGCGTTTCTTACGTATTCATGATGGAAAACTTGCCAGCTAAGCATCGGATGTGGATGGTTACTGTTATTACTTATTCTCCAAATTACATTGTGTTCACTGCTTTGGCTTATTTGACGGGAGAGTGGCGCTTACTGTCACGTGTAGTTGCTCTTATAACATTCCTTCCTGGAATCTTGTTATTGTAAGTCTTCTATAGTAGTTTTCACAATGAGATTTACATAGTATTTTTTGACCTCTTTTCCAGTTTTACTCGAATCCATCAGAATCATAAAAGTAGGTGCTGAGTATAAAATTACAAATATTCCTGATAACTTTCCTATTTCTTTAAATATTCATAGCTCTTATCAAAGCTGTTTTCCAGATTTGCATATGAAAGTCCACGATGGTTAGTTCAGAAAGGGAAAATCGATGAAGCACGTAAGGCAGTCGTGGGTATGGGTAAATGGGATAATAAAAATACACCTGAACGGTTGCAGGAGTTAGATGCTTTGCTAGATAAGGAACGTGAGCGTTTGAGAGAGGTTTGTAGTATGACTTGAAATTATTTTTTGGTATTTAAAATTATGTCTTTTCACTAAAAAGCTTCAGAAAAAATTTATTTTTTTCTGAAGCTTTTTAGTGAAAAGACATAAAAATTGCCAAATAGAGTCTCAGTAATTTGTTTGATTTTTTTTTGTACTACGTGCTTCATCGATAATAAGTATAAGAAACTTTTTCAATAACAGCGTATTTCTCATTGGTGTATTCAATTTTAGATAGCGGGGAAAGCACAGA